ACGGTCCACCCGCTCCGCTTCGTGCATATAGCCGACTTGTTCGCATAGTGCGAGAAAGCCGCTAGTGTAATCTTGGACCGACCCGAGCTGCCGCCAAGTGCGCAGTTTCTGACGCGCCGAAATCGAAGCCGCGATCGGCTCGAAACGCGCCCGAAGCCCTGCGCACCACGCATCCCACGTGTTGTACTGGGTTGTCTCGCAGAATGAACTCCAGGTGACGGCTGGACCCGTGGGCCCGTCTTCTTGCGACGGTGGCTCGTAGGCGCGTGGCGACGTCACGATGACTCGCCACCAGTCCATGGCAGGGCCCCTCAGCAGCGAATCTTCGCTGCGTCCGACTCGACGTAATTGGCGTCGAAAAACACGTTCATCGTGAAGACCCACGACTGAACCGTCGGACCCCCACGTTGGCTCGGGTCGAAACAGGGCGGACGCTGTGGCTTGAGTGGCATAGGTGCCGTGACGGCATGTTCGCCACTTGTCGCCGCAAATTCCACGTGCCGACGGGACTCGCGGGGCTCCCGTGGGCTTGGTGCGGTCCTGTTCCTCTCCATGCCAGGCATCGAGTGAGCGGCGCCTTCACTGGCTGCGCCGGAGCGCTGTCCCACGCTGTCATTCTGTGTCGGTGTGCCGGAGGAGATGACAATCGGCTCCTCCGAATGTGTAGGTGCATGTGTTGGTGCTGGTGTGTTCACCGTCGATTGTTGGCGGGCGGAGTCACGTTCCGCCGTGAGTGTGGCGATTACAAGCGCTGATTCTTCAAGTTGGCGCATGAGTCGATCTAGTTGCTCCTGCGTCAGTGTCGCGGCATTGAGTTCCGCCATGGTGGGGGTGCCGGGCAAGCTCAGCGAGAGCCTCTGTCGTGGCCGTGCGTGCTTACGAGAGAGCACTACGAGCGGCGGTGCTTGATCGCTGAGAGACGTCTACCCCCCCCAAAAAAATTGATAGTGGGGAAGCGAAGGTGTGGGTGCGGTCCGAGAGAAGATCGTAGGCTCTGATAACCAGGTGTTACGAGTGCAATTGAGTGAGCGAGCGAGGATTGCACTATCGAGACAAGATACAATGAGCGAAGAATATATAGCGAAACTACGGTGGTAACGGTAACGTGGGAAAATGGGGTGCGCGACGGGCCTAGTGCCGAGGTTTGGGGAACTGTCGAGGCGGAGGTCCGGAGCGCGGGTTACCAGCCGAACCGTGAGGTTGGGTCGCATCGTGAACAGTGGCGGGAATGGTGTCGAGGCGAATGTCGCGGGTGGTAACGGAATATTGTGGGGTGCTGTCAGTGTTGTACGCGCTGAGCAGGGACGCGAAGCAAGGAAAAGGATTTTTCCTTGCAGAGGCATCCCCTCCTGCTATCGTGAAGTGGCAAATGCGGCGATTCGGATTGGTTCGTTGGTAGAATCCAACGGACTAATGAGGCGCCCAGGTGTTCAATCTGTGTCGGGATGGCAGATCCACCATCCTCGTCTCGTGCATCTTTCTAGCATGGGGGATTTAGAGTTGACGTCATAAATATAAATTATTCCAACCGCACAAAAACGCTAAGAGTTTTATCTGCACCACACAGTATCCAGTCATATGAAGGGGTACCTTCAACACTAGCTATACATCCAACGCGACTGAATTGAGAATAAAATCAACCCTTGCAGCAGGAGGATCAATCCAGTCATAACTCCCCGCCGCCTTTGCCGCATCTTCAACGTTGCTGGTGCTGAGCTGGGCAAACGTGACATGCCTGTTGCTCTTGGCGAGCACTCCAAGGTCAGCGAGTCGATGAAGTTTATAGTCCTGGCCGAGTATCACAAATTATTTAGCAATAGGATTTCATACGGGCTGAACAGGACTAGAGGCTCACAACCTGAATAGCAGGAAGAGAGGGCCTGCAGAGTAGACATCGTCCGATCTAGTAGGACCTTCTGGGTGGCCTGAGCTGCGACCCCCCCCCAACCGCTCGAAACCTGCCAAGTTTCTGCGGCCGTTGGGCATTCCAATCTTTTCCAATTCCCGTGGCGATGATCTTTGTCAGTTACAATCGCCTCACCGCATTTGTCATCGCTGCGTGATAATCTGCGTTATCATGGCCGACTAGCCGTTCAAGCATGCAAAGAGCTGTAGCCCATGGGAAGGTCGACGAGCCAATGTACAGCCATGGAGGCGGGCCGTGGACTAGTTCGCTTGTCGGCCTCAGTTCCACTACTCCCACACACACGAGCGCTTCACCAGCTTATCGTTCGCGTGCTCTCAGCACAGCCATTTCCCATCGCTCATGTCTTAGGAGCACGGAGAAGTACTTCATTTCGAATTGGCCCGTGACGTCGTCCTCGCCGCAAACACTCATATGAGATCTCGTTCCAAGTAATCCACGGCTTCCTCCACTGCTGCATTGAGATGGCGCGTTTGGAGTGCAACGATCAGGAACTCGCCTACTTGACCTACCTATTGGGGAACGAGTTGCTTGATCTGGACCTCCCTGCCGCAGCCACCGCTCAGCCTGGGCATCAGAGGTCATTACTAGCTGCAGAGGTTAAGAACAGACCTTTCTCGGCAGAGCCGGTGCTGGTGCCAGTTGCTCCCAGCAATGGCAGACTGAGTGAAAGCACCATCGTCACGCAAGTTGGCGAGGCGAGACTGCGAAACTGTCAGGCCAGGAGCACGCTGCGGGGAGCTGGGTCGTTTCACGGGAGAAGCTTGTCTGCGCCAACCAACGAAGTGGCCACCTCCCCATCAGCATCACGTATGGTTTTTGGTTCCATGGTTGAGCCAGCCACTTTGTTGTCTGGGCGGCCCTCGGCTTGGTCCCTGGCTCGTGGTGTAGCAGCCCCCACGCCTGACTCTGCTGCATGTCACCCCACAACAACTGCCACAGCAGCTCCATTGGCCGCCTTTGACTTGGGGGCAAACCAGCAGGGTGGAATGTTGAGCCAGATGCGACTTAATCCACCTGAAGCTCCTGAAATGAGGAGGGACAAAGCATTGTTCCATCATGCTATGTCAGACGCCCCTGGCCGCAGCACGTTGAGCCCAGTGAAGCCTCAAAAGCAGGGCCATTTTATTCACTCAAGAGCTGGAGGCGGCTCTGGCATTACAAAGAAGAGTTCCACTGAAAAAATCAGGAGAGCTCGTGTCAGGTACGGTTGTCCTGTATTGGGAGGTATTCCTCCATACATGCCATGCACAAAATCTGACGCCTGAGTTAACTGTTTGTTGCTTATGGCAGTCAGGGGTTTGCAAATCTGCGTGAAGTCATTCCGAGGGAATTTCTCAGCAGCCACATTCAGAAGTCAAGGGGATTTTCTCAGAAAGCTGACTTGTGTACGTTGCTCAATGCAGCATCAGAGTACATCGACTACATGAAGGTAATTTGATTTGGTTTGGGCCAATGTTCATCCAGATGCATCTTGAGTAACATTTTAACATCACTCATGTGTAAATTGTATTTTACAGGGCTACAAGGCTAATCTGGAGGAACGGCTTTTACAAAGTGGTAGTCCAAGCTTGATGCAATGAGACAATAGGATATAGTTTAGGCAATTGGATAAGTGATTGCATGTACAATTCACCTAAGCTATCATCACACTCGTTTGCTTGTTAGGGGTGTGACAGTATGGAGGTGCCCAATTACATTTGACCTGACGCGGCGCAGCTGCTCCTAGAGCCCGACTCCCAGTCCCCACCAATGACGTCGCACCTCGAGGCTGCAGTGCTGTCGCCTGAACAACGCCGCGCCTGTCGCCAAGCTGTCCTACATGCCCTGCGCGACTTGAATTCCCGAAACGCACCAACACCTGTCGCCGAATTTCATAGATGAAGCGAAAGTGGTAACCTAGTTGTTCTGCGACGCTGACATTGGCGAAAGAGGTGTAAATTGGTGGTTAGAAGCCGGAGTTCTCCTGTCAGGCACAGGTGCTCTGACCCTGGATGTCATCATCAGCACGGCAACTCAGGTGGCATGGCAATGGAAGCACGACGACACATCCTGTTACTAGGTTGGCCTTATTCTCTTCTAGTCTGCGGTTTCTGTTCGTTCTTTTAGGTCTGATTAGCTTGGGTCCGGCGTGATAGCCCGGTAGGAGCTTTTAGCCTGAGAATTCGCAATACTTAATTATTTTCTTTGGAGGACCAGTCATCCACTTCTACCTAGCGGCACGAGTACACCATCATGGTGTACGTCGAGGGATGAAGGCTCCACCTAGTATGACTACCTAGTGGCTGTAGCGAGCAGCGTAGAAGTAGGTAGACGAGGTAGGACATTCACAGGCATCGAGAGCTGAACGTTGTGATCCCGAAAAGGCAGTGACCATGTGGATGTTCTATGCCATCGCGCTGCCGGTTACACTAGGCATGGTGATATGGACGCTCATATACTAAGCATCGCCGCGCGTGCTTCAGCACGTGCGGATCATCGTCGCGTACACGTGGTTCGTCAACGTCTCCATCGTCATCCTCGTCCCTGTCGACGTCTGGACGGTGCGTGTCACGGCTTCTTAAGACTATCGACGTCGTGTTCGTCGCTTCAAGTTAGGTAGTGGGTGGTTGTTTTGGCGATGGTAGTTAGTAGCTGAGAGCTTGTAGGGACAGCCGATTCTTACTGGTAATTAAGCAGCAGTGTTGCAGGCTCGTCCCTGATAGTCATTCTGTGGATATTCCAAACAAGGTGAATTCCGCAATTTCCCCACCCTAGTATCGTCAATCCCATTCTTCAAAGCACGCATCCACTGAGCAGCATCCGACTTGAGCTAGATAGCTCGACTCGTTCTTGCAGCCCGCTGCATCTTTCGATGCGCATCATGCACGGCAGAAGCGTCAAATGATACACTGCGTGGATCGCGTGCGGATTATACGGACTGATGTGCACTATGGTCATGTGTGTCATGGCTGTATGGGTGTCATGGTTGGGTGTCGTGGATGCATGTGTTTCATGGCTGCATGGGAATCATGGTTGCATGCCTTTCGATGCATGTGTTACACGAATGCATGAGTCTCCTGGATGCGTGCTTTGCATGCATGATGTGCTTCACGGACGTGTGGTGCGATACGGTAACGGTTGGTGCGTGCAGGCGATATGTCTGGAGGGCGAGGCGGGTCCCACGGGGATGACGGCGGGGCTGTCAGCAGCGGTGTGCGGCTCCAAGCTGTCCGTGCAGTTCCTGTGGAGCTTCTCCTACTGGAGCGCCTACTTCCTCACCTGGTCAGCCTGCATGCCTTCCCACATAATCAAACTGCCTCCCTCCGCCCACGATGATGGTCTCACGTTCCCCGTTTCCTAATTGTGGTTGCCGACTCTTGGTGCTACCTGAAATCGTTGCCGTTCCTCACCTGTTCCACTCCTACCCTCCAGTCCTCCCATTCTCCTCTGCTCTTCAACACCCATCCCCTACGCACCTGCCGGGTCATCTCCCCATCGTGCCTGGTATCAGAGTGATGAGATGCCTAACGACCTGATGTTAACGTTGTCTTGCCTTCCGTGTATTACCCCAGGGTAATCATCCCCATCATGCAGGGGTATGAGGACGCAGGGGACTTCACAGCAAAGGAGCGGCTGCGCACGAGTGTGAGGACGAACCTGATGCTCATCGGCATTGTGGGCGCCGTGGCCGTGGTGGGCATCATCATCCTGCTCGCCACCAAGGAGATGGCCTGGTCAGTGCAAGCCATGCCCATTCTCTTGTTTATTATTCTTATGTGGGTGGAGGTGGGTTCACCTAGAGCCAGGGGTTGGAGACCTGTCATGCCGATTGGGTTCAGCTCTTCGTCTCACATATTGTCCAACCCCCTCCCCTCCCTCCCCTCTCTTTCTCCTCTAGCTTTCGGCCCATCCAACCCTTTCCTTGATCCTCTTCTCCCCACCACACTGCCCCCCCCTTCAGGGACAACATAGTGTCGCTGGCCATAGGGGCGTCGAACGCGTTTGCGCTGATAACGGGCGCGCTGCTGCTGGGGTACGGGCTGGTGGAGATCCCAAGGGGCCTCTGGAGCCACGCGGACCTGGCGGAGCGCCACAAGTGGCTGTCTGTGCGCGTGGCCCGGGCGGCGCAGAAGCTGGACCAGGCGCACCAGGAGCTCAGCACCGCCATTGTGGTCAGTGCAGCTGGCATGCCTCCTCCCTCTGTTTGCATCGCAGCTACTGTGCATCGCACCCTCTGCGAATCATCCCCCCCTGCCCTCTCTAACTGTTCTTCCTCGTTGTCCCTTCCTCATGTGCCCCTCCCGCTCTGCGTGCCCCTCAGATTGCTCAGGCGACCTCGCTGCAGATGCCCCGTCATGATCCGCTGCGACCCATGATGGAGATCATCGACGCCATGGTGAGATCACGTCACATGATATTTCAATGGGGGATGTTTCATTGAGATGAAGTAACACCTTATCAAGAACGGCTGGCAGTGGCATGCAACGAGGAGGCTCTCGGAATCTGCCTTCCTCTAAGAGCATCCCCTACTGTCTTTGCTTGCTTTCGTCCGCCATTGTGGGCCTAAAGCGCCCTGCCCTTGTCTGTCTCTACCTTGGTCCAGCCATCCACTCCCCACACGCGTGACTCCCCCTGTGCTCTGGTGTGGCACAGCGTGCAGGCGAGTGAGGACGCAGGGTTCAAGCCATCGGGCGGGCAGATAGGCGAGAACGACATGGACTATGATGCTGACGCCAAGAGCATGGCCGCCCTCCGCCGCCGCCTGCGGAACGCCCAGGACAACTACTCGCGCTGCAAGACGTGAGATAGGGGGGGGGGAGGGGAGGGGGGATTGAGCATGGTGGTGGTGAGGATTCAAAGGGGGTTTGGAGTGGAAGATGGGAGGCACAGAGACTGGGTGATGGGAGAGGTAGAGCGGGAAGACTAATCACACGCCCCCATGACCTGGCCCCTCATTGCCCCCATAAACCTCTCACACACCCCATTGGTTTCGCTCCTCACACTGATTGCCACACGCTGTCACGAATGAAGCGACTCCTCTACTGGGGTTACATACAACCAAACGTATCCCCCTGTGCGCTCTGCACGTTTCTGTGCCTGACTCGTTTCTCGCAATTCCTTGTTTCCCGTTTGCCTGGTGCCCATGGTCCCCCGGCAGGGAGTACTGCACGGTGGTGTGGGAGGCGCTGCAGCTGGAGGAGACGTTGCACAACTGCTACCAGGGCACCGGCCGCTACACCTCCTACCTGCGCGCGCCCAGGAAGGGCTTCTTTGCTCCTCTCCTTGATGTCGTGGGTGCGTCGTGTGATTCAGCAGACCATTTCAGGTTCACCCTGTGTTCTCTGCTGAAATGCATTGTACCTCGGTATGCCTTTCTGCACAGTCCCTGCATGCCACCTTCTCCTCCCCTACTCTTCAATACAGTGCTGCATCCGCCCACACATTTCTCCTTCCTCCCCGTCCCCATACTCCCCGAGACTACCCTCCACGTCATATGAGTACCTCTGCAGAGGGTAGACAGTGCTGCATCACCCGCATGCACGTCCGACATCTGGAGGCACCTCATAATCTCTCTCTCTCATTCCCTCCTCTCCTCCCCTCAACCCCGCCCTGCCATGCAGAGTGGTGGTGGCGCTGTGCCATCCGCAGCCACGTGGTGCGGGCCTTCGCGCTGCTCCTCGGCCTCATCTCCCTCGCCATCCTCTTTGCCGAAGCCACCCTGCTCTCCCAAAAATGGGTCGACCTCTCGCTCTTCTCCGTGCTCGTGCGCGCCGCCGCGCTGCACGGGGAGGCGGTGCAGCTGATAGTGTTTGTGCCGCTGGTGTACCTGTGTGTGTGCACTTACTTCTCACTCTTCAACCTCGGCATCTTCTCCTTCTACTACCTCGTGCCCGCTCACACCGACTCCGTCTCGCTCCTCATCAACTGCTCGTAAGCCCCACAGCAACCCCGTGTTCTACTGCACGTGTCGCTCCTTGCAACTCCTTGCAACTCCTTGCAACTCCTTGCTTGCCTGAGTGCACTTGATTCCTCTCAGAAGCTGTCTGTCAAGTTTATTCTGACGTATCACACCTCTCTCACCCCTCTGTGTTGCCACAGCATGGTGTCGCGGTACGCGGCCCCCATGTGCTACAACTTCCTCAGCCTCATCCACCTGCGCCACTACAACTACGCCACCAGCTCCGTTGAACCCCTCGTCACCGTCTTTGAAAAGGTGCGCCCCTCAATACCCCTCATTCCCCACCCCTCATGCCCCGCCCCCCATGCCTTCCCCCTCATGCCCTGGATTCCGCTCTTCTCTTTTGTTTATCTCCATGCCTCTGCTTCACAAATTTGTTCACCTCGCATACCTATCTTCCATTGCGCTCGCCACTGGTCGTTGGTTCTTGCACTAATCACTCCCGTCACGCCCATTCTCTCCCACGCACCCATGCACCCACACACACTCGCACACACCAGCGCATGGGCGTGCTGCCCAAGTCGTTTGACCGCGTGTACCCGCTGTGCATGGTGGCGTGGTCGCTGCTGATCGCACTCAACGTGCACCACCGCCTCTTTGACTCCGTCACGCACCTCCTCTCGCACTTCCGCGGCCTCTACAGCCGCACCTGGCGCCGCCTGCGCTTCGACGACGATGGCGAGGGGGACGATGTGGGCGTGGACGGGCGTAGAGTGGTTGTCAAGGGCCACATGATACTGCAGAGAGGTGCGTGTGAGAGGGGGAGGTGAGAGTGGCGATGTGGGCGTGGACGGGCGTAGAGTGGTTGTCAAGGGCCACATGATACTGCAGAGAGGTGCGTGTGAGAGGGGGAGGTGAGAGTGGCGATGTGGGCGTGGACGGGCGCAGGGTGGTTGTCAAGGGCCACATGATATTGCAAAGAGGTGCGCACGCAAAGGACGGGCCGTAGGGTTAGCAGTAAGATCGGCCCACCCCCGCTTGCATCAGCCCTCATTGGATCGCCACCCCCGTGCCGAGTGCTTTTCCAAACCCCGCACCCCACCAGAGCGGGCGACCATAGAGCGCGGGCTGCCAGTGGGCGAGAGCGTGGTGCCCCTGGCACGCCATTTCTCCTCCAAGGACCTCCATGCCTCCTCCTCCGCCTCCTCTCTGCTCTCAGGACACTACTCCACCCCCACTGTACGTACCTGCTCACTCACCCTCCATGTACTTTCAAAATCCCCTCACTTGCACCACTCCACCTCTCTCTCTTTTTTTTTTTTTTTTTTTTTTTTTTTTTTCCCACTTCTCGCTATCCTTCATCACTCAATTTCTCCCTTTTCACCGCGACCCCCTTCTATTTTTCTCACTTGTGGTGTCCTCCTTCCTGTTCCCATGAACACTCTGCCATACCCCTTCTGTATACCCCCCTCACCTCCGCACGCCCATGGCCATCAGAAGGTGCCTCACACGGACCCCAGCTCCTCCTCCTCCGCCGACCCGCTGCTTGACTCACGGCTGGCTGCGGTGAGGCCAGCAGGAGGCAAGCCTGCCGCTGACAGCGCCAGCACCAAGGACCTCGAGTCAGCGTCCTTGCTCAGAGCAGCAGACACCAGTTCCACTTCAGTCAAATACTCTGGCATCATTGCTGCTGCTGGTTCATCTGCTGGCGGCAGTGCCAGGAAGCCCCAGCGGCCTCCTGCAGGGGGTGCTTCAGGTGCTTCATCAGGTGCTGCGTCCCCTGCAGCAGGTGTGGCAGGCAGGGTGGGGCTGGAAGCGAGCATCAAGTCAAGCTCAGCAGGCGATCTGCTTCCCCTCGGTCGGGAGAAGTCAAGGCAGGCCTCTGTCCCTGGCAGTCCCCTCTTGCTCTCTCGAGCCGCCTCTCCTCTTGTCACTGCCAGGCTTCCACCCATCAGCACCTCTGCTCACTCCACTCCACACCACCTTTCCGCTGCTGTAGCTGCTGCTCCTGCTGGCAGTGTGACACCCACCCGCCCTCTCTCGCCTCCCTCTCTCCTCTCTTCTGCTCTGGGCCTAAGCTCTGCAGCAATGGTGTCAACCCCACAGCGGTACTTCTGGGTCGGGCAGGCCACAGCAGCAATGGCAGCAGGTGCAGGAGTGCAGCAAGAATTGGGTACTCCGCAACGGAGCGACCATGCAGTGGGTGTATCACCTACAGAGTCCCCATTAATCTCGCCAGGCCAAAGAGGAGCCGCAGAAGGTTCCGGTTCAGGTGGGACCATCCCTGGCAGCAGTAGCAGCAGCAGTCATTGGTCTCAAACACTGCTGGAGTCGCGCTGGTCTCAGGCTGTCACATCCCGGCTGCGTGATGCCTCATCAAGCAGCACAATGGGCAGGCTGAGGGACATTCTAGGAAGCCCACGGCCACACGATAAAGACGAAGGGGGTGCAGATACAACCGGAGGGAGTGGAGGTGGCTTGACACAAGAGGCTGCTCCGGATCTGGACAGTATTTTTGAGAGCTTGCATGCACGGCGAGCTGCAGCGCACACGGACGATGATATGGATGATTTTGAAGATCAACATGGATTGCTAAAGACAGGAAGGGAGCAGCAAAGTAGACGGAAGTGAGGTATTTTCCTGTTCAAGCTGCGTAAGCAGACATGCAGTGTGGTCAAGTATGGGGTTCTTGTTAGTTGTAAGCTAAACATCTACCAAACGCATTCTGCAAGCCTCTGTTTCTGGATGTAAGTAGCCTTGTGGTTGGTCTCCAAATTCATTCACTCTTACAAGGTAAAGCATGATGTGTGAATTTCTATTGGAAATACCCCCATGATATGTGCACGTACTATTACAAGGTAAAGCAGTGTGGAGTACTGTGCTAGCACCTTGCGCTCACTTTCTCCCTACACAGTCGGATCGAACCAAGTTTGTGGCTCGCCTGGCCTTTCGGGGCCGCTGTGGACTTCTGGGATTGTCATTCCTCCAATCAGAGAGCCTGATTGCCTTTTCGTGGCGTGGAATTGGCCCCTGATTTTGACAATTGGGGGCCACAAGGAGTGACTGGCCAATGGAGGGTTGTCCGCCCCAGATCCAACTTCCAGTCGTCGTGCGAGTGGAGGCTGCAGTTGGGCAAAGCGTCGCCGAAACATTGCTGCGCTTGGTGACCTGTTGCTGTGCTGTCAGCTGCCTCTGTTGTTCTGCTCCAGCGAAGAAATGGTTTAGCTCCTGCCACTGCTCCGCCATTCATGGAGTGCTCGCATTGCCAAAAGCAATGCTGCAAGCAACCCAGACTGCTTGCTTACACCGTAGCGCCATTGCGCCTGGCAGGATGCTTTTTCTAAGACTCATTTTGTCACCTTGAAAAGCGAAAATCCTTTGAATATTGTATTCCCGTGACGAGGACAGGCTAATACAAGCGGGGTCATAGTCTCATACCTTCAATGGCGTCGTCATCAAGACCAATCCTCTCGTTCCAGACGAGGCTTTCCCATACCTCGTTTGGGGCTGAATCGAGCCGCTTCATGCTTGCAGGCTTCGAAGAAGCTACGTTGCGGGTCAATCCTCCCAGGTCAGCCGTCTCTGCTTGCATTCAATGCTAGAGGCATAGCTCATTCATGGAGAAAAATGCTAACAGGGTCCGCTTGTTTGCGGCGTTGTATTCGACAATCAATCTGACCCGGTCTCGACTCTTGTTAAGGTGGACAGCGCAAACAAGCAAGGCTGCCTTCTTCAGGTCGTACGGCTTCTGACTGACCTTGATCTTGTGATCTCTAAAGCTTACATCTCTTCTGATGGTGGATGGTTCGTTGATGGTGAGTAGCTTGCAGACCACATTTATAGTGTTGTTGCATCTTCAAATCACATCAGTTTGATTGTCCATCGGGTTTCCCTTTGCAGTCTTTCATGTGGTGGACCAATTGGGGCAAAAGGTGACAGACGAGAGCCTTATTCAATTTATCAAGAAGGTGAGTGAGACGACAACCAAACGCTTGGTGATGAGCGTTTGCGCACTTGCTGAACATTGTTCTCTTCCTGTGCAGGCGCTGGGTGCTACCAAAGAGGATCTCGCTCCTGATGCAAGAACCTGCCTAGGAAAGCCTGTAGCGGACGCAATAGATTTTGAACACTCCGTCATAGAACTCACAGGATATAACCGCCCCGGGCTTCTCTACGAGGTGTCGGAGGTGTTGACGAAGCTGGGATGCAACGTGGTGGGAGCAGAGGTCTGGACACACAATAACCGTGTGGCTATCGTCGTTCACGTTACCCAAGCAGTCAACGGCGGACCTGTAACGCACCCTGCTGCTCTGGCCGAAATGCACGACAGCTTGTGTTCGGTGATGGAATCAGACAGTATCAGAATTGAGGCTCGACACAGATTTTCAGTTGGGGAGGCCCAGACTGACCGGAGGCTGCATCAGCTAATGTTTGCAGACAGGGATTACGAAGCCGCTGGGATTCATGTCTCCCCTGCTGGTGCAGCTGACGAGAAACTTCGTCCCAGTGTTTCTGTGGGAAATCTTCCTGGGTCGCAATATACAATAATCAAGCTGAGCTGCCTGGACCGGCCAAAACTTTTGTTTGACACGGTCTGCACACTTACGGACATGCAGTACATCATTCATCATGCTACAATAGAGTCAGAAGACGATGTCGCGTTTCAGGTGAGTAAACAGTTTGATCTCCAAAATTGTGGCTTTGGCTCCAAGCACAGGAGCATGTCATTGTCTGTATGGCCTTCTCATTTGGTTGCATTCTTCCACTGCAGGAACTTTACATCAGAACCATGGACGGCTCTATGCTGGACACCGAAGCTGAGAGGGAGCGGGTGGTTAAGTGCCTTGAAGCAGCTATTTTGCGTCGCACCCCCAAGGTAAGTCACTTTGTTCACTTATCTTGTTGCTGCATTTGAGACTAGCAACAAGGTGTACCGATTTCATTGGCTGTTTGGTCACGACGCATTGCTTCCTGTTGTGGCAGGGGATGTGTCTGGATCTCCGCGCTGGGGATCGGGTTGGTTTGTTGTGCGATGTCACACGGGTTTTCCAGGCGCACAACCTCTCCATCACTGCTGCAAATATATGCACGCGTTGGGGACAAGCTGTGAACGAGTTTTACATCACAGATTCGTCCAATCGCCCTGTGGATTTCAGTACCGTTGAGGCTATTCGCCAGGAAATCGGCCCTGAAATGCTGACCGTTCGTAATGTGGCACCTCCCATTCTTAGCTGCTCGCCTCCACCTCAGGCGCCTTCCTTTTCTTTCACCGGATTGCTTCGCTCACTTTCTTTCCGTCTGTCCAGGGAAACCGCCATGAAAGGAGCTCCACTTTCAACCAGCCTCACTTAAATGGGCCTGTGTAAATATGGTTGTGTAGAGCTGGCCAACAGTTGTTGGCCTCATTGGGCTTGGTGTATATAATCATCTAATAAATTATTGGCATCAGGGCTAATTTATCCAGCTACAAAGCTTCCCCTTCCCACCCTCCATCTCGCCTCTCGCAGCCCACCCCTCTATTTCCACCTCTCACTGCCTAACACTCCCAGCCCTTCGCCCCTCCCTCACCCACCCTCACTTCCTTTCAGCCCAACCAACCAACCACCCCCAAACCCGTCCTCTGGCCGCTCACGTCCCCGAACCCCTTTTCATCTCTTGCCACTCACAGCCCAACTCACCAAGTCACTCTCGACCCTCGGAGCCCAATCTCCCCACACCTTCTCACACATCGCAGCTACCGTATTCCTCCCCCCACCCACTCCCTTCCCTCCCCCACCCTCCGCTCTCCCCCGTCCACATGTTCCTTGCGCTTCTCGCAGCCCTTAACTCTCCCTCTTAGAAGCTAGGCATGAGTGATGTCGACTATCGAGAAGGTTGGTACAAGGAAAATGAACCTAAGGGGTTGTACCCCACAGTGTGTACCCCACTAAGCCTACCCAAAATATAACATAGATATGCATATGTTTGACACACCCCCATAGGCAGAGTGGGGGAGAACAGAGGGTCACAAGACCAGTCAGGAAGTGCAAAGCAAGCTCATGGTGGATCACAACGTCACCACGCAGTCTGAGCACAAGCAAAAAGGCCACAATGCCAGTTCACATGCAGAGATATATATGTAACAACAACAGTACAGTGAAATCTACCTACAAGAACAAGCATGCTGAAATACATATAAATCATGGTACAAACAAAGCCTACAGCAAGTGAGGAAGAGTGGGCACAAGGCCTAACAAAGTGCAGAAACGCTGATGATCACCAGGCGGAAGTGCCTTGGTGAATATATCAGCAGTGTTGGCCCGAGTGGCCACGTAGGTAAGACGAAGCTGGCCACGCTGCTGCAGCTCTCGAGCAAGAAAGTAACGGAGAGCGATGTGCTTCGTTATGTGCTCCAGTCTGTGCTCCTGACACAAGGCAATGACGGCCTTGTTGTCGACGTACAGCACTGGAGGAGAACGAGGTCGCTCTCCCAAGTCAGTCAGCAGGTAGAAGAGCTAGCGAAGCTCCTGTGCAGCCATGGCTGTGGCGTAGATCTCAGCCTCACAACTGGAGCCGAGAACTGAAGACGAGCGTGTAGAACGCCAAGAAACTGAACCAGAGCCAAGGCTGAAGGTGTAACCCTGTGACGACCGCTGCGTAGCCTGGTCGTCAACCCAAGAAGCGTCCGAGTGACCAGTGAGGACAACGTCACCCCGTCCTCCAAGCACGAGCCCCATGCCCGATGTACTGCACAAGTAGCGTAGTACCCTCTTGGCAGCATCCATGTGCACCTTTCGGTGCCGACCAGGAGCCACGTAGCGAGCCAGAAGGCCAAGAGGGTACGCAAGGTCAGGACGAGTGCAAGTCATCAGGTACATGAGGCAGCCCACTAACTCTGGGTAAGGACCACTCGACTCTACGGACTCGTCCGAAGGTGGAGCTGAGAGCGAGTGACCTGTAGCCAGAGGAGTGGCCTGTGCTGAGGACCAGGTGAAACCGAAGCGCTGAAGGACCTGCTGCACCATGTGTGACTGAGTCAGTGTGATGGTGCGGCGTGCTCTGTCCCGGGTGATCTGCAAGCCAAGGTAGCTGCGCAGTTCACCCAAGTCTGTGCACGTGTGTCTCTTCTACAGCTCCGACTTCACCAGGGCGAGAGCCTCAGTGTCAGCAGTGGCAAAGACCAAGTCGTCGACGTACACGAGAACGTAGAACGGCGGCAGCGAAGTGTCGGTGCGCAAAAACAGCGACGGGTCAGCAGTCGACGGAGCAAACCCAAGAGCCGCAAGTGTCGTCCTCAGTGTGTCGTGCCACTCACGTGGTGCCTGGTGGAGACCGTAGACCGGCCGCCGGAGGCTCCACTGGGTACCAGGAGGGAACGACCCAGTGAATCCAGGAGGGCGGCGCAGCCAAATCTCCTCGTGCAGGCTGCCCTGTAAGAAGGTTGTGCTGAAGTCAAGAGAGTGAAGCTCGTAGTCACGCTGAGCGGCAACGTGCAGCAGCACCCGAAGAGTGGTCATCTTCGGGGTGGGGGAGAAGGTCTGGAAGAAGTCAACTCCCTCTCGCTGACTGAAGCCTCGAGCCACGTAACGAGCCTTGAAGACAGGCGGAGAACCTGGCGGCCGCTTCACCCTGAAAATCCACATGCCACTGAC